GCAATAGGAGAGCAACGGTTCCATTGGAGTTGGGATTGGGGATGAGATCGAAATCAAGTATGGGGTCGGGATCGCAATCGGGATCGGGGTTAAGGGCAGGTTCTTTTGTTTGGGTTGGGATGGAGGTCGGAATCGGGCTCGGGACCACGATGAGATCCGGAGGCCTGGATCAGGTCGGGGTCAAGGTTGGAAGGGAGAAGGGGAAGTGAAGCGGCAGGGGGTCGTGATCTGGACAAGGGTGAGATCGGGAGACGGACATAGGCAAGCTGAAGGAGGACGGAGGAAGGGTAATCAAAAGGTCGGGATCCTCCGGGAGTCCGAGTGAGATCGAAGTTAAGAACGGGGTCGGGACCGGAATCGCCATCGCGGGTAACACCCGGGTTGGTCTCTTGGGGTTGGCATGGCAGTTGGAATCGGGGTCGGGCTCGGGATCGGGTCAAGGATGGAAGGGAGGAGAGGAATTGAAGGGGCAGGAGGTCGCGATCAGGACAGGGCGAGGTCGAAATCGGGGGTCGGGACTCGGGAGGCGAACATAGGAGAGCTGCCGCTCAGCTGCTGGATCCGAATAAGTTTGTTGACGTCTTTTGTTGGAGACCACAGGTAGCCTCCTGTCTATTCTCTGCGCGGCTTTCCTGTCTGCATCCTTGTTGCGTCTCTTCCTCCTCTCTCTGCATGCACTTTCTTTTTCTCTCTTTATGCTTATCTCTGTCTGGCTTCTTCTCTGTGTGTTCCTCGCTCCACTCCCTCTCTTTGGAATAAGCCCTTCGTTCTCCTCCTCCAGTCTTTGCGCGAATAGAACGTACCATCATTTTTGCTGCATCTGGACTGATTTTTGCGCCAAGCACAGATATAATGACCGTACGTTCTATTCGAGGAAAGACCGGTCGTCATCCAACATCGCGATCTGGCGCCGGACGTAACTCAATCCCGCCCGACGCCCATCTCTCTCTCTCTCTCTCTCTCTCTCTCTCTCTCTCTCTCTCTCTCTCTCTCTCTCTCTCTCTCTGTGTGTGTGTGTGTGTGTGTGTGTGT